TAAAATAAAGTCGATTTCTTATTGTTTGTCTGTGACAGAAGCGGAGAAGAGGCTGCAGGACCGCCTGTCGTCCATCAGCAAGCAGCAGCTGGACGATGATCAGGATCTCCTAAACATCAAGGACGCAGCTGCTGACATCAAACTGCAGCATCAGACGTACAAGACGAAGGTGGGGGAGGTCCAGAAGCTGATCAAGGAGATGAAAGTCCAGCTGGAGAAGGCAAGTTCGCTGTAAGGCTCCACGCTGACAGATGCAGAGATGAACACATCCTGTCGTGTTTGACAGAATCATTATTTTATTTTAGAGGGTTGTGTTGTATTTGGGTGTGCGTGTGTGTGTATTTAGAGGCAACAGGCAAAGGTTTAGAGAAGACAAGAAATTTTGGGAAAACAGAAGCTGACAAATTGGCAACGATGTTTTCTTGTCTAACCTCTGTTTATTTTTCAGGATGTACCTCTAAGCGACTCTCCGCTGGGTTCAAACGACCTGTCTTCACTGGCGACGACGGCTACCAAGCTGGCTAATGGGTAAGTGTTGATTTCACAAATCAGTAAGACGTTTTTTGGCTACCATGCAGACCGGTCCACGTTACCCACCGTCTCTAACGCCTTTGCCTTCCAGTCATCAGATGATCGCAGACGATGTGGAAAAAAACGCTGGAAAGGCTCTGAGTGACTCGAAGCAGAGTCTGACTCTGGTCAGAAACCTCATGAACAGAGAGAGCAGAGTGAAAGAGCTGATTGGAGACCTGAAAACCATGTAAGTATCTCCTCTGAGACTCTTTTAGACTCTGAATCAACCACTTTGTTGATTTACGTGCACTTTGCATGTAAAAGCTTCAGATTTGTTGATGACAGCAGAATCTAAATGCGGTGCCTAAAGACTAAACTAGAGCAACCTGCGTGTGTCCAGGTATGAACAGACTTCAGCTCAGGTGAAGGGTTTTGAGAACCAAGCGAAACGTCTAAGCAGCGATGCCATAGAGGAGAGCAAAATGGCGGACGGCATGTTGAAAGACATCGCCAACATGGAGCAAAACCTCCCCCCATCTCTGCAGGTAATGGCTGTAGAGAGGACAGATTCTTCTTTTTATTATCATCTTCTTGTTCAGTGTCTCTAACCTCCTTTGTTCTCCCATGATGCACAGGGGGCGGTTGATGCGATGCGTTCCAGGGTGGATGGAGTGACAGAGGCGATGGATGAGAACCTCGCAGGCATTAATGCGCTGCAGCAAGGAATCCTGAGAGACAAGCCTGTCGCTAAGGACCTGCTGGCCAATGGCAAAGCTGCCCAGCAGGTACTAAAGTGTCAGAGATTCACCTCTGATGAGATGTCCAGTTAAAGGAGGAAATGGCTAAATGACCAAAATCGTTTGAGTATCAGTAAACATGTTTATTTCTGCTGTAACGTTGGACGTTTTAACAATCAACACCTCTGTTCTCAATCTCTCGCTGCAGGAGTACAACGGCCTCGTGGACAGAGTCAATGTTGCCAAAGCTGACACTGAAGGAGCCATCAAACTCATCAACAGCAAAAGTGATGAGCTAGAAGATGCCCTGAAAACCCTGAAAGGTAGGCTCGCCGAGCGATGGGGCGGCACTCGCCGAGCGGTGGGGCGGCACTC